TCCAACATGATTTAAAAGGATTGCTGTGGTTGGGGTGCTGAGAATAGGGTAAAGGTAAGGAGACCAGTTAAAAGACTCCATAATGCAATACTCTAGAGAATAGTGGTTTGGCCCGGGAGAGAACGGTGGAGGCAAGACGGGGTCATTCTGAGTGTGTTTTGAAAGTCACATTGGTAGGAATTGGAAGTGTATGACAAAGAGCAAAAGAACCTATGAATCCTATAGGGTTTTTGTCTGAACCATTTGGAAGAATGGAATTGCCATTCATGAGATGGAGAAGACATTAAAAGAAACAGGATGTTGGGTTTGTTTGGGGGACACAGGAGGTGGACAATGAAATCTTGCAGGAGTCAAGGTGTTGTTGCCTAGAAAACATTTAAGTGGAGCCCAGTAGGCAGTGGAAATAGAAGTCTAGAAGACAGAGACCAGTGTGTAAGGGTGGAAGGGCACTAACATGTACGGCACCAATGTAGGTGTCATTCATTCTACAGGTTGAGAGAATTCAAGGTCCTGCCGAGAGGGCTCCCAGTTCAGTGCATCTAGCTGGTTGCTATTCAAAGTGTGGCTTGTGGGCCCACAGCACAGCCCTGCCTGGGAACTGGTCAGAAACACAGACTGTGTGGCCTTCCCTACACCTGGATCAGAATCAGCATTTTCCCCCAGAACTTCAAGTTATTAATATGTAATTAAAGTTTGAGAAGCACTCATCTAATGAGCATTATCAAGAAGCTTTTTAAAAAATAGAAGTTCCACTCTAGAACAATTAAAGCAGAATCTCTAGGACTGGCCCCAGTCACGGGCATTTTTACCAAGCTTCCCAAGTGGTTTCCATGTGCAGCCTGGGTAGAGAACCAGTGATCTGACTCTTTGCTGCTGGTCTGTTTCCTCTTTGCCAGTTGGTTTATATTGCTGGGGCCCCTGGAAACCCTTCTCTACAGAGATGTGCAGTTCTAAGATAAGATGAAGGCCTGTTGTTAGACTAACCGAATCTCCTGGTTCATTGGGGTCAGTCTCAACCTAATTATAATTATCTTTCACTCTCAAAGCACAGATGGTCCCTGACTTAGGATGGTTTGTCTTAATGATTCTTCAACTTTACAACGATGGTGTGAAGCAATACACATTCAACAGAAACCACACTTTGAGTATCCATACAACCATTTCTTTCAATTTCAGTACAGTACTCAATAAATTTCATGAGATAGTCAACATTTTATTAAAAAATAGGGTTCGTGTAAGGGGACTTTGCCCACCTGCAGGCTAATGTAAGTATTCTGAGCATGTTTAAGGTAGGCTAGGCTAAGCTGTGATGTTCAACAGTTTAGGTGTATTAAATGCTTTTCTGACTTAATGGTATTTTCAACTTACGGCAGACACAACCCTGCCATAAGTCTAGGACCATCTGTATCCTGGTTTAGATGATAAATCATATTTTCTCCCTTTGTAAAACGAGATGGCTCTACATTTTATTTCTGGATCATAAAGTCATATTAAGAACAGAGAGCAAAATGACAGATGACCTTTGGGTTGACCTTTGGGTTGACAGATGAATCAAATATAGAGGCATTCTTGGTGCTTCGATATTAGTCTTTAAAGTCCTATAGGTACACTTTATCTAAAACACATACATAAGTTCCCCAATTTCCTGCAGGCTGGAGAAATTCAGGCTCCTTGCAAGAACTGGGGTGGATGAGGAGTCAGTGCATTCTGCAATGACAGAGCCAAGGGTTGATTAGCCACAGGCTGATTATCAGTCTGTGATTAGCCTCGCCCTTAGCAAAACTTCTCCTTCCTTTTCCTTTTGGATCCTCTATTGTTCATTAGCTACTCCACCCATGGCTCATGGGGTCAAGGAAAAAAGATTTATAAAAAAAAAAAAAAAAAAAAAAAAAGCAAGCTCATTTAGCAGCCCTGCTAATAAAATGAATGGGAAAGAGAAGATGGAAACAATCCTACTGTTTCTGGTTACCTGCGAATTTAAACCCTTTTAAATCATCCTTTTGTTCCCAAATTACTACCAGCTGGTTTGAGGGCTGACTGAAGGTCTACTGATTGCCAGTAACATTAAAGTAATCTTGTATTTCTAAAACCATGTGCTCTTCCAGCAATAGGTCTTTGGAAGCCTCCCTTCCAGATTTACCAGGGAGAGAGTGGAGCAGGGGAAACACCTTCTCCTCTCCTCAGGTCCTCTCCCCTGTCCTTCCTCACCTTAGCACCAATTTGTAGGTGCATACTGATAGAATTGTTTACAAATATTTTTTGATGTTGGCAAGAAATTATTTGACATCGATTTAAAACACATAGCATAGTCACTGTACATAAGGATGCAAGTGGAGAATCCTACATGTGGGAGTAGAGATTCATGTGCCTATAGATTATGTCACAAGTTTTCCTAATTGCACCACCAGGATAGTTACGAGCACTTCCGCAGGGCGACCAGTACAACATTCTCTGTTCATATGTGTTTAAAATGCCTGGAAAAAGGACCTGCCCCTGGGTAAAACAGCCAGATGCAGATGAGCCAGGGAATTCTCTGTCCTCTTGCAAAATAACCTGAATATAGATGGCTACGGAGTTAGCCAGTAAAACACAGAAAACTACCTGCTGAACTGGAGTAAGATTATCAATGATATCTTTGCAAATTAGAGAGGTATTTTAATGGGTGTCTGTGTGTGTAGGGGGTTGGGGGGCCTGCGTGCTTGTCCTCTGCTTTCTGGGCTGCAAATAAGAACAAATTAAAAGGGTGGAAGACGTTCTCTCTGCAGCTAAGAAAGCAACACAGGTTTGTCTTGCCCTGCCGGGCCCTGGAGTAGTAATAACCTGAGCATTTTGAGGAGCATGGCTGAGCTCTGGTCTCTGCCCACCCTTAACCAAATGCTTTTCCTTGCACAGATCCTCCAGGGCAGAAGCAGGTGGTCCTGGAACAAACACTCTAAAAAGCTCCCAAGTACTCCCCTTCAAGGCCTGTTTAAAGCTGGTTAGTAATTAAGTCCTGCAGAGAGAATCTTCTTCCCTTTGTTGACGTCTTTAAGTGTCTTTTGTAATCTTACTCTCCATTATCTTCTGACTTAAATGTGTATCATGCCACAGGGCTTAAGTTAATACATCCATGATATATGATATTTTAATAAGGAGTTCTAGTTTAATAGAAAATTCTGAGCTAGATCATGTGCTAAAATACCCTGCAGTCCCCATAGCCAGGTCTGGGAAAACCCTGATGATTAGGGTGGGAATGTGTGCAATCAGAAGAGCAGTATCAATGAAGGGATTCCCATTAAACCTGGGAAACTCTTTAAACCAATAGGATAGAAAATGTGCAGTAACGGGAACCAAAACAAGCAATATTTATTTTTATCTTTATCCACACAATCTTCCAAGAGCAGGCCCATGGAGATTTCCAGCTGCAGAAGAAACGCTTAATGAAAGTACCACTTTGCTTTTGTGGACCACCAAAGAGATAGGCTCAAGTGTATACAGAAGTATTTTCATGCTTGTCTAACGGCCTGGAGTCAGTCCAGTATGGAAGGTAAATAAAAATAAGGAAAAATCACAACCACTTAGCCTGTGCAAATAGGGGGAAAAAATGTTGAGAAAAAAATAGCCTAGAGTCAGAGTGAGTCACAGTCGGTGAGGCCAGGAATATCATTCCTCACCCTGTACGTAGCTCTGGACGTTCAGGTCCCTGCTTTAATCTCCCTTCCTAACACGAGATGTAGACGAGGGTTTTATTTGGAAAGAGTACCAATTCCTGCATGATTTGGTACTATCTTGGGCAAAATGTACTCACTAACAAATTATTTTGGCAGCATGTGGGCCATCCCCTGCATGGAAAGGCTATGATCTTGAGAGGAAGGGCCAAGGGCTTTCTGCTGCTCATGTGCTCTGCCCTCTCACGATCCTGGTGACCCTGAGAACAGCTCTCAGCCTCCCAGGCCTCTGCTCCCCCTTCTAGAAGGATTTCACTCCAAACAGATCTTCTGCTTATAGGGTCAGGCGTAAGGAAGGATCTATGGCACCATTATCACCAAGTTCTTTGAGACTCTCCAAGGAAAGATACCATGAAAAAAAAAAAAAAAAAACTAAACTACTTACGAAAAAAGAAAACCTTCCCTGATTTCTTATTCCATCAGGGCAAATTATAGCTGTAAATTCCAAGCATCCCTAAAACGAGTAGCAGTGAATATTTCTCTGTTTCTCTATTTTTCCCACAGAAGAAGTGTTGCAGGTGGAACCAATGTTTTCATTTCAAAAAATCATCTCATCAAGGACTCTGCTTCAAAACCCAGAATGAAGTGACCAAGACAAGGGCAGCCAGCAGTGTAGCTCAAAGTACTTAACTTTGAAGTGAAGCTTTCTGGTATTAATTACCATTGCCTAGAGTTTTAATGAATACGGGAGTGGGAAGGCTTATGGTTGTCTATTTATGATCTTGAGTTCTTAATTAGCTCTATTGTTGAAACATGAAGAGGCTTTGCCAAGCACAGGCTGGTCTAGCCTCATCGATGTCCTCCCTTCACTTAAAAGGACGGCCACAGACCCTCCTATCATGGTGGACTTTATGGCCATCTCAGACAGGACACCCTGGGTGGTATCTGTATTGGCACCTCAAAGTCACACATTCAACCCAGAGTTAACCAAAAACTTGAGAGTCAAAATGTACATGGGCATAATCAAAGCTCTGCATTATTTAACCATCTTGACTCTAACTCAGAATTTCCTTATCTATAAAAGGTACCTCCCCTTAATTTTACCCCAATTAACAAACAGTCAAGACAGGCACGCTATTTAGGTCTAAACTTCTTTTAGGTACTAGAGAGCAATTTTTATGTCTGAAACACGGTACTGCGTGAATTAAACTTGCTTGGAGTTGCACTAAGCTTGCCCTTTAACTGAAGGATCGATATGCCTTTCCAGAAAGTAAAATAACCCACACCAAAGGCCCAGGGGAACTCTCTAAACTTTTCAGGGTCTATGAAACACACAACAGCTCTGCGCTGTACCTGTGGTTCCTGGTCATGGCCGCTGGGATCCCTCTCGTAGCTCTCTGCATACAGTCTGATGGTGGCCCGCATACCACTGGAGGAGCTGAGCCGGAAGATGAGCCGGGATGCGTCTGAGAAGATGATCCTCAGGCCCTGAGACCAGGAACATCCAGAACGGTCAGTGAACAAGTGAAAACACAGGCAAGAATAATTAATACCTACTAAAGAAATCAGCATGTCTCTATGATCTAAACACAGAGTCATCATAACTGCTAAGTGGCTCTGGATAGTCACCTGGGCAGGACAGTGCATGAACTTGCTTACCACTAGCCATTTGTCTCTATTCTACTTCTGTTGCTTTGTAGTCATGTTGGGGGAAGAATTATGAGCAAAACTGTGAACAGATGCTCAAGTTCTCTTGGCCTGGTGGTAGGGGAATCAGAAAGAAGTGGAGGGAACGAAAATGAAATGATATTTGATAAATATCCCTGGGGCCAAAGCCAGTCCCTGATAAATCTGCTGGATGCAATGGGGGTAGACAATTCACCTGTTAGTCAGACAAATTACCCACAATAAAGTTAGCCACAAATGTTGCTAGACTTTGCATAGTCCTCTGGTAGCACCTGAACCCAGCACCTCCATCAGCTGGGTTCTGAGGGTTGCTGTGCACATTGCCAGCCTCTTGGTTCTCTCCAGACCTACACACCCTCATAGTGAGTGGGTGTTGGGTGAGAACATCCCCACTCTCTATGTATTTCTTCTACACAGAAGCAGGGATATTTGAAAATTATGACCATAAGATCATAGAGACTTCTGTTGAAGGAAATTTGTTCTCCTAAGACAACTGGTAAAGTAATTATTGTAAATAAATATGTTGGCAGGGGAAGGAAGAGAAGGGAAAAAATAATATGTTTGGGGACTTATTACTTCTGAAAAAGTAGATAATTCTGGCAACATTCTCCCTAGGCTCCAATTTATTCTGGAAACTTCTCTGGCCTCAAATCTTGTCTGTTAAGAATAAACCATTGTTAAAATATATGTATACCTGCTACATACATCTGATTGCCAATTTTTTATGCTGACCCCCATCTGGTGAGATCTGCTAGAGGCCCTGTGGTTCTCTCTAAGTGCCTTTCTGCTTTTAAGTTTTGTAGGCAAAGGTTGTTCTAATTCTCAAACAAAAAGTTTTAGTTTCTTTTTGGATGGGTCCAATGTCTTCCATAAACGGAAGCCATCCTCCCCACTGGCAACTAATTATTCCACAATATTAGTTTTGTAAACAGGGTGATAGTCACTCAGCAAAGATTCTAGAGTGGCCCTTATGGACCAGGTACTGGGCTGAAATCTGGGTATATAGGAAGAGAAAGACAGAGCACTTGCCCTTCATAATCCAGGAGTAGTTTATTACAATGAACAGAAACTGTTTTCTTGACCACCTTCCCCTCCTCAAGAGGGGAATAGTTGCAAAATTCCCAATGGTGCAAATGAACCAATTAGCTACTATGCAGAAAGCACTGTATACCCAATTATGTTCAAACTGACAAAAAAGCCTCAAAGGTTTCACAAGTATGTTCATAAGCTTCTTTTGTAAACTTTTTTGAAGTTATTCCTTATGTTACATTCCCATTGTCAATACGCCTGGGTCACGCAAACAAGTTAACTTTTGCTCAGGGCTATGGCTTACCCACAAATTGAGGTAAAGCAATATACAAGGCTGAGGTCCCAACCCACCTGTTGTTGCAGATTCTAAGTCACTTGGAGCCAACTCTTCTGATGATCCCCTAAACCGAACCCTTTAAAATAATTCCCATTACACAATTAACCTCCCAGATTAGTCTGTGACCAGTGGGAGGTACCTAAGAATCTAGGTCCTAACAAATCATCAATGCATGTTAGACGCTCATAAGTTAGCATTTGCACAATGAAATTATTTTTTCCCCTGAGGGTAGCTATAGATCTGTGGCTGTACTACATTACACACTCATAGAAAAACTGTTAGAATCTATAACTGGTAACCAGGAATAAATTTTGCCCTTCAAAAGATAATAAAACTGTGAATAGCACACAGCAGCCTGCTGGAAATGGTCCAACATTTTCTCTCTCCGAGGAAGCCAAGCATGAGGCCCTCATTGGGAACCCATGATGCTGTTTCATGTGAGGAGCAACACGATTCTCCTCCATGTGGAATAAAGGGTTTTTTAGAGCCAGCCTTGTTCTGTGCTGTGATGGTCCATGTTTGTTGAATGCCATTTTGATGGGTGAAAAGTTGTACTGAATTGTTTTAGGATTTGTATCCCCAAAATGAACTTAATGAATCTGTAACCCAGCCATGGGCCATCATATCATCACCTAGTATCAATTAAAAACTACAAGGCCAGGGTGGTGCCTTTGGCTCCAAGGAGTAGGGCGCCAGCCCCATATACTGGAGGTGGCGAGTTCAAATCCAGCCCCAGCTAAAAACTGAAAAAAAAGAAAGAAAAGAAAAACTACAAGGCCAAAGTCACCCTTGACCAAGACTTGCCAAGTTTCTAATAATTTATTAATTTCAACAATTAAGTATATAATTTGCTTTTATTTTTTAGGATATCCTAGGGATTGGGATATATATATCCTAATGTGTGTGTATGTGTGTTATATATATATACACACACACATACATACATACACACACATAGCCTGTGGGTAAAAATCTGACCTGCCACCTGTTTTTATAAAGCTTTACTGGGATAAAGAAATGTCCATTCACTTACGTGAATACTGTGTATATTGCCTATAGCTATTTTTGTGCTGTAGAAGCTGAGTGAATGTGACAGAGTTCACCCAACCCACAGACCTAAAATATTTAATATTCAGTCCTTTACAGAAAATGTTTTCTGAACCCTAGTATAAACCACTATATTATCTACAACATAGAATATTTATCCGTCAGTGCCACAGCAGAAAATAGAGATATAATCATCTCCATATCAAGATCTCAGTAGAGAGAAATTATGTTTATGAAGACTGTTAAAAGAATGTCCAATTCCTCCATTCCCGAGGTGTCCCAGAAACTTCTAATTCATTTGGACTATGTTTGGCCCAAATCAACTTATTTCTGAACCCCTGCTCCTGACAGAAATGGACTTACTATATTGCATTTAGTTTTACATTCTCACTTTTAGTGCAGGGTCCTACAAGCTACTGTCTTACAGAATCCCCTTCTGTACACACTACAGAAACATTGTTAGAGACTGTGTGATGTTCTGCATGAGACTTTTCCTTAAAAGCCAAGGATTAGAAAAGCATTTCCTTCCCCAAGGAAAGATTCTTTCTCTTTCTGACAACAAGAACTTTGTAACTAACCACATTTCCCTTTTCAATATGGCTGCCAGGATACTCGATGCCAAACTTGAGATCCAGCCCAAGTGGATCCTTACGACTTGTACAACTATAAATTTTTCTTCTTTTGTTCTTGACTCTTTACTCTTATTTATATATTCCCTAGTCTTGATTTCTGTTTCTTATTTATATTCTAACAACTTCATTATGTGTTTCCGTTGCTACAAATCCTCTTGAGAACGAGGCCCAGTGAAAATGAATAAAACACATTCCCATCACAATGTCAGCCTAAAATTTTGGAATTGCTGAGCTACATCTTTGGGTCCTTCACTGGCTAACAAGCTCTGGAAAGGCAGAGCCTTACAGACCTGTTCACTAGCATTTTATTCTCAGAGCCTAGCAGAATGCCAGCACACAGTATGTGTAAACCCTCCACAAACACTTGTTGAATGAATGTCACTGCATGATCAGTCCCCACTGAGGCAGTCTCTGAAGGCCTCCTTCACAGTCTTCATGGGGAATTAAGGGCTGACGTGTGCTCCTTGGAGAGGAGTTGTGAAAGATAAACGAATGAATACAAATCGCCTGGCATATCATTATGATAGTGGCTCTACAACGACTACTCATCCTTTATTTCTCAAAATGTCCTAAAACAAGGGACAGTTCTGGCTAAAGACAAAGGAGTTATGTGACCTTAGAAAAATCATTAGACCTTTAGTACTGCACACTGGAATCAGGGGAAGATCCTTTAAAAAATGGCAGTACCGGGGTGGCGCCTGTGGCTCAAAGGAGTAGGGCTCTGGCCCCATATGCTGGAAGTGGTGGGTTCAAAAAAAACAAAACAAAACTGCAAAAAAGAAATAAAAAAAAAATTATAAAATGGCGGTGCCTGGCTCTCACCCCAGACGCTATGAACTAATTCTCATGTATGTCACTTGGACACTGAGATTGTAGACGCTCTCCTAGGGATTCCAATGTGCAGTTTAATGTGGGAACCACTGCAGAAACCTCTTTTCTCTGGGGCACCTGTCTCATCTATCAAGTGACTGGACTAAGCTACACACGAGTGGTAGGAAAGTCCCTTCAGGATTTGAGGTTTCAGGCAGATGCTACTATTGCACTAGGATCTTAGGAGGACTGTAACATAGCAGACCTAATTAAAAAAAAAAAAATCATGCTACTGAGGTTTGAAATCTTCCTCCTAGGGCCTTGTCAGCAGCAGAACCATTAACAGGGGTCCTCAAGCTTTTTAAACAGGGGGTCAGTTCACTGTCCCTCAGACTGTTGGAGGGCCAGACTGCGGGCCCTGGGACAAGTCGGCTGCTAAGCAGGACAGGCAGCAGTGGCAAAAACACCTGGTAGGCCCGATAAATGTCCAAGGCGGGCCACGTGTGGCCCACGGGCCATAGTTTGAGGACAACTGCATTAGCAGTACCTCCTCTTGAGCCATCTGACGCTAATTGTTTTTAGCACAATCTTATAAGATATTCCCAGAGCAACCATGGCAGCTATGGTAACTGGCCTACCCAGGATGACACAACAGCCACTAGCTCAAAACATGGAAAAAGACGCCCTCCTCCCTTAGAAGACAATGTTAATTCTGAGGCAGGGTGCAGCGCATCCAAAGAGCATTTCTGTTCCAGCCTGGCATTTTCTTACTTTGGAGTGCCTGTGTACACGTGCTTCAGTGATGAGAGTGAAGTTCTGCACACCTGAGCTTTGCCCCAGCAAGAACAAGTGGTAAAAGATTTCATCTCCCTCGTCCACAACTATGTCTACACAAAAACCCTCCAGTCTGTTTCCAGTTATCATTGTCACTTCTCTTTTTCTCCCTA